GACTTAGCTACAAAGCAAGGCAACCTTTGTGTCCCATTCATTTCTCCCATTCACCTTCCCTTGAATTGCCTCCTCTTCATCTAGAAGCCCCCCCAATCCCGACCCCTCTCCTTAGATCAGATGGTATATAAATCAATCAACGGACCACACTTTGAGTCTCATACCTTGGTGTAACTCCCATGCATACATACATAATGAAGTTTTTCTCCTGATTATCTGTCTTATGTCAAATAGACCAGCCACAGCACCTAGAAGGGTAGAGGGGGAATTTTTTCCTCCCCTAGTTCACACTCCAGACTTGTTCCTCCCAGGAGAAGCTGGTGAAGGAGCCTGGTCAGCTCTAGGCTGCTGCCTACAGGTCACTGTGAAAACATCCAGCATTGGGTTAGTCAATCTGACAGGTGGGTTTTGGCGGAGAATCTCAGAGTGGGCTGGGGATTTTCCCTGATGACGATTCCCTCCCAGTGATAGTGAGCTCCCTCCCTTCTCTTCCCATTGCACCTTTGTCCCCAGGTCCCAGCTCTGGCTCTAACGTTGCACAAATCTGCTCCTTCTAAAGCAAGAAGGTCTTTGGACATATATTAATGTCTGTCTATAGAATCCTCAAAAATTAAAGTGGGTCTCCTACGATATTGCAGAGACTTCTCGTCGCCTCTGGGGCCACCAACACCCCCGTGACAATAGGACCCACCCTCAGTCAGGTGACGATAGCACCAAAGTGACCTCCCTCCCCTTCCTCATCCTCTGAATGACGCTGTTTTATTTGTCATCACATTTGCTACCTCAAAGATCTGCTTATGCTGGGGGGAGGGCACGGTTCCTAAGGCGGGAGTTTAAAGAAACCTCGGGAGTTCTGGCCTCCCTGTCCCAAGGCCCCTGGCAAGGTCCTGAGTCCAACGTGGGGCCAGCCTGCCCCGTACCCTCACTGTGGTTTTCCAGGGAAAACCCAGCTGGCCTAGTCTCCCGGGGCTTCCCAGCTCATCCAGGGCCTCTGCCCCCGCCTGCCGCGAGGTCCCTAGTCCTTCGGCGAAAGGAAGCCCTCCCTTAGGAGTCCCTCCCCCTGGGACCCTCAGGCCAGAGGGAAAAGAAGGGGGAGACCGGGAGGCGTGAGAGACAGGTGACCGACTGCACAGGTGTTTACTAAATCGCTTTGGCAAACATTCAGACGAAACATTAGCAGGTGCCACCTGATCGTTTAAAATGAGTCAGAGGATCCCTCAGTATATTCGGTGGAATATAAATTTGAATGTTGACGCAGAGACCCAGGACGGCTCAGTCAAGTCGGAGGTGTGTTTCTCCCCCTCCTGACGGTACCGGTGTAAACGGCGCAGGGCTGGTGTGGCGGCTCCGGGGCTCAGGTTACAGGAAGGCTGGTTTCCAAGTCTTGGGTCTTGTCAGTGGGAAGGGGTAAGAGGAAGGGGAGTTGGGCTCATCGCTCTCGTCCCATTGGTCAGAACGGAGTCACGCGGCCACACTCGGCCACAAGGGAGGCTGGGAAATGTAGTCCTTTACAACATGCAGCCCTGTGCATGGCTAAAAAGGGGTAAGGAGATGCGAGCTCACTCTTCCTAAATTCAAGCGGCCTTCAACACCCCCTTTCATGCCACCCTGACCAGTCTCCTCCAGACCAGGGACCCTGGAGGATATAAAGTTTCTGTCCCTGAACGTGACCTGGGCACTGTCACCCTAGGACACGAGCCAGGGGCAGGACAGGCTGCAGGGGGCCCATGCCAGGAAGACAGCAGGGCAGGGATCCTCACCTCATTCCCCACCACCCACTCTTCCCTTTTTCTTCTGCGTGTGGTGATGCCCCGAGCCAAGCTCGGGGAGTAACATTTAGGGGGACACTTGCTAACATGCAGATGTGACTTCGGGGTTTGGGAAGGCCGGGGGAACAGAGAGAAGGGCTCGCAGTGGGGAGAAGCGGAGCCATCCTGCGGGGTCACCCATGCTGTCACCCCCAGGGAACAGCAGCCTGTCCGAGCAAAGCGGCGGCTCAGAGGAGCTGGGGTCTGGGCCTTTGCGGGGCCTCACCCTGCAGTAAGCTGCCCAGGGCAGGCTGTGCGGGGGCAGGTGAGTGCGGACTTCAGGCTGACCCAGAGCAGGACTATGACTGGCCTGTGCCCACAGCAGCAGGGTCTCTGAACCGTGTCCCCAAGGCTGCCTGGAAGACTGAGCCACCTTGAGCAACAGCAACACCCACTGTGAGCTCACACACGCCGGCACCATCGCCCAGTGGCCCTCCTGTGGGCCTCCGAGCCCCATCCGGGTCCTCCCAGAGAGAGGTGCCCGAAAATCCCTGTCTCAGTGCCCTGGTAGGAGGCGCCTGTGTGTGCACGCACATGATCCCCACCCTCCCCTCGGGACGGTCCCTCACTGTTCACAATTCCCAGGTCAGGGACCTGCTCTCCTGGCCACGCAGCATTTTAAGTCCATATTGTTATTAAAATCTACATGACAGAGTTTGTTCATTAGCAAAAGGATGTTAGAAATTATTTTTCACAGAAGTGGGAGTTGGTGGAGATCAATGGTTGGCTAGAAAGACTCCCTGTACCCCAGAGCCTCTGTCCCACCAGGGGAGAGCTCAGCAGCCTGAGGCCTTCCCGGCAGAGCTCGGGCAGGACCTGGGGGTCCTGGTGCCCCCCACTCCTTGGACGGACGGATGCGGGGTACGGCTCTTTGCCCCTGCTGGCCAGTAAACATTTGGACATTGGCCAGAATAAGACCTGCTGTTGGCACATTGCGCCTGGTGGCGAGGTTGTTGAGGGGGCCCGGGCAGCCACTGCCTGCCCTTATTGGGGGCCCCACATCTTAATGGGAAAAGCCTGTCAGTTAGAATACGTGCCCAGCATCACATGGGAGAGCTGGCTGGGAACCAGGTCTGATCTGAAAACCCTGTAACCCTAACCACTGCCCCACACTGCCTGTGATTCACGCCCATGTGTCTCACCCTGCCAGAGCCAGATGGGAAGCCGGGTGCCCTCGAGGCCTGGGAGGCCCTATTTGCACCCCGTCTCAGGAGGTTTCGTTGGGCTCGCCCGCTCTCTGCCCCGGGGCGGGCTGCTCTGACCATTCTTGTACAAACCAACTCGGAAAGGCGACCTGTGTCCAGGGGGCGGGAGCGCACTCCAGCGCTGCCTGCTTGCTCCTCTGGCTGCGTCCACAGGTCTCAGGAGCAATACGTATCTCTGACCGGCAGGGACCTTGCCGTGTATTGTTCTCCAAATGATGTTTCCTCAGCAAACTCTGGGAAGCAAGGACCGTGCCTCCGGATCCCCCTCTGCAAACACCCAGCACTTAGTTATTTGCCTAAAGGAGAAAGAGCCCCCCCCCCAGACCCCAGGTACCAGGAGGAGGGGGACTGTGGCAGAGGGCAGCCCCATGGGCTGCTGATCCCGGGGTGCCCTTCTGAGTGTCCACGGGAATACTCATCTACCACCTCCCCTCCCGGCGCACCCTCCACGTGGTGAGTGACAAATCTCTGTCTTTAGTGCCCGGCATCTGGATTTTTCTTTTTCTTTTTAAATATTGCCCTTGCCGGTTTGGCTCAGTGGTTACAGAGCGTCGGCCTGTGGACCAATGAGTTGGGAGTTCGGTTCCAGTCAAGGGCATGTACCTCGGTTGCGATCGGTCCCCAGCCCTGGTTGGGGTCCTGCGGGAGGCAGCCACTCAGTGTGTCCCTTTCACATGGATGTTTCTCTCCCTCTTTCTCTCTTCCTCTCTCTCCCTCCCACTCTATCTGAACAAAAATGGAAAAATGTCCTCGGGTGAGGATAAAAAAATAAAATAAGTAAAAATAAATGTTTTTATTGATTTGAGAGAGAGAGAGAGAGAGAGAGAGGCATGCACGCCCCCACTGGGGACCAAGCCCGAAACCCCGGCATGTGCCCTGCGACCTCCTCCTGGTTCATGGGATGACGCTCATCCAGCGGAGCCACACCAGCTGGGATGGCAATCGGATTTAACAAGCCTCCAGGGGATGCTGACACAATCTGGGAACCAGTCTAGACCAATTGTTTTCAAACATTTTAAACCTTCAGAAAAACCCTTTAGAGACACGGACTAGATGAAACAGGCAGGGATGGAGATGCTGGGAGTGGCGCATGGGGCGGAGCGCTCGCCCTGCTCAACCCCTGGCCTCCTAGAAACACTGCGGGAAACTTTCTGGTTGAATCATTAGGCCAAAGGCTCCCCCTTCACGTTACTTCTCTTGGGGAAACTGGGCAGACGATGCCCAAAGCAAGAGCAAGGGTGTCACAGGAGGAAGAAACCTAAAATGAAACGAAAAAGAACAGAAACAGACAAAGCAACAGGTCCACACAAGGGAGGCAAGGACAAGTCAGGAAGCGTGTTTAATCGGCGTGACATGGACGACATACAGAGGAGCACAGGAGGCCTGGGCATGCTACATGGCACCTGTCCACCCCGGGGCCCCGCCCCGCCCCTGCTGCACCCCCAGGGCAAGGGCCTGCCCCTTTCCCAGACACACACCAGCAGATTCAGACAGGACTGCACCCCAGAAAGAGGCACAGAGGGGGCTGGGGAGGCAAACAGAATGAAAAGAACCACCGATGGGAAGCACTGCTTTGTTTGTGTTGTTGAGTGAGGATAGCCCAAGTTCCCTTCCAAAGTTGCAGCTCCCAGTGGGGGCAGCATGGCAGCCCAGATGGCCGCACCCCTGCACGGCACGGCGGTCCAGACCACACCCCTGCACTGTGCTGATGCTTGCACTCATTTCCGCTCCCCACAATGCCCACCCGAGAGGTGGACACAGGAATCTCACCTCCATCTGAGGGATGCAGAAACTGAGACCCTGGAGCAGGAGACATGGGGACAATGCACAGCCTAGGGGACAGGGCGCATTTGTCTCAGTCCTGGAGCTGAGCCTAGATGCCAAGACAGAGATGGGACCAGCTGTTTATTCAACAAAAGCCTTTTATTCATTCAAAAATCAACCATTGGATTTATTCTGCAGATATTAAAAAAAAAATGTGGGGGGAGGGGCGAGGCTTCTCATCACAGTGCCCTTATGCTAATTAACTTGTTATCCCTGGGGGACACCTAGGAGCATCTGGAAAACACACTGTCAATAATGTGGGGCTGGAGGCCCAGGGCTTAGGTAAGATCACCGCCCCTCACTCACCTCCCCACCACCTGCAGCCTCCCACCCTCTGGAATCACGGGTTTGGCAAGTCAGGACCCCCCAATGCCATTGCAGCTCACCACCACCAGGGGGCGCTCCGACATTCCCTTGGATCCCGAGGTTGAAGCTGGGGCGGGAACAGGGTAGCTCTGCACTTGGCCGGCATGAGGCCTTCTCCAGGGAGAGACTGCCTCTCCCCAGGAAATTTGGGCACCCCAGTCTCTCCCTCACACAGAAAGGAGACAATGTCCCAGAAAACTCAGGTGTGTCTGCCGTCTATGGAGTTGGCGGTCAAACAAAAGCATTTCAGGGTAAGAGAGGGACTCGTGTTTGCCTTGACCTTCCTCTACACGCTGCCTGGTTAAATACTGGAAACTCAAGACATTCTCCTAAGTACCATCAACACGAAGTGGGGAGCAGACGCTGCGAGGGAGAGGCCTGGGCCGCTGCAGGCAGCTGAGGCTGGACCCTGCGAGCGAGGGTCGGCGGAGGGGCCAAGAGCCTGGCTCCGGCTGGTCCGGAGTCCCGAGAGCAGCATCTCACGGGGCTGGGCCTCGAGTGGGAAAGGGGACTGGGGAGAGAGGCCCACGGGCTGCTCTGGGTTCAGGGGTGCCACAGCTGGAGGCCTAGTGAGAGGAGACAGACCTGCCCCTGCCTGGCAACCTCGGGCACACATGGCCAGTGTCTAGCATGCTGCCAGGAGGAAGGGTAGCCCTTCTGGCAGCTCTGAGCCGTCTCAGGGCATGTACCCAAGGTGTGCCTGAGGCAAGGGTCCACGGTACCACCTGCTAAGGCCAAAGGGCATATCCATGGCACCAAACCAAAAGGCCAAACCACCTCCTGAGAAGGTGGGAGAAAGGCCCCGCACAGGTGCCCTGCAGATGTCTGGGGATCGACACCTCAGCCCGAGGGGTCCACATGCTAGCCCTGGAAAGCGCTCAGCCACAGCCCCTTTCCCGTGACGCCTCTGGGACAGGCTGTGCAGCAGCATCCTTCCTGCTGGACCAGAGGAGCAGCTGAGGCCCTGGCAGAGGCCAGAAGGCGGTCTGACCTGGGGAAGGCCCCGCTCTCCTCCCTCCAACCCCAAGCGGCCAAGTGCATGTCCTGCCCTAGGGTCCCAGGTCAGAGGCAGGTGAAGGAACTGCAGGATTTGGAGGTGAGTCTTCGGCCTCCTGGGCCAGTGGCCTGAGCAAAAAGGTGACCACAGGGGCCTTGAAGAGCCCAGCCTTCAAAGTCACCTGTGGAAATGGAACTGCTGCTCCTGCCCCCGCGGACTGGGGGTCACAGCGGAGGCAGCGTGTAGCCAACGGGCCTGCATATGCAAGAAGGGTGGGTTCTGGGGTCGGCAGATGCACAGCCCAGCGGCAGAGCCCCTCTTGTGAAGGGCATCCTCCGGGGAGGGTCTGTCGTCTGAGGGGTATCAGCAGGAGAAGCTCAGCCTCCTGGGAAAGTGCAAAGTGGAGACCAAGGACAATTCAAAGTGGGGACCGAGGCCCAGCTCTGCTGCCCTCGGGCTGGGCGAGCAGGGAGAAGGCAGGCTGCTGGCTTTGCAAAGAAGCGTCAGGACCCGACTCAGCCCCGAACAGTCTGGGGGCTGTTTCTCACCCTCGCGGCCTCCTCTGGCTGAGGGCCAGTTCTGGGCCAAAAAGACAGCTCGAGGCCAGGAGGGACCAGGAAGCATTGCAAGGAGGGACAGGTGTGTCACCTGACCCCACACACCATGACCAGTGGCTGCCATGTCCCTGAAGATTTGTGCCGAGAGACAGAACAGGGACTCAGACGGTCCCCATGTCTGCTGGGGTCTGGCACGCGTGGCCACAGACCACAGCATCACCAGGTGCAGGAAGCTCAGACTTGGAACTCTCCTGCGCCAGCACGGGGGGCTCCCACCAAGCAGCCAGGCCTCCTGGCTCTGCCGTGGGGCTGGCTGGGGCCCAGAGAGCAGGGGGTGGCCCACAGTCTCAGAGCCGGAGCTACCTCGGGGCTCCTGGCCTCTGGTTCAAGGTCATCTGACTTTCCTGGTGGCAGTTTGGGGGCTGCCCTTTCTAGGGGAAGGCAGAGCTAAAATATCTTCCTATGAGCACAGGTGGGCCACAGCCCTGCACCCTTCCCCCCCCCCCAGCTTTGGGCCAGGCAGGTGGGGGGCAGGAAAGCAGACTGGAACAGACTAGTTTTCACACCCACCAGGGCAGAGAAGGAGCCTTTACTTCTGCTCACCGGCTTGCATAGGCCCCCCACCTTTCCTTCAGTACCCCACCCTGTCCCAGTCTTAGGACAAGCCCCTCTATTCTCCAAGCTGCTACAAACACCACAGCAAGAGCTGCGAAACCGAAAGCTGTTCCCTGTTCGTCCTCAGGAAAGACGAGCGGGCCCAGAGGAGGACACAGGCCGGCGGAGTGGGGACCGGGAGCAGCGAGAAGGGACTCGGGAGGAGGCATTCGGGCAGGAGGGAACAGTGCCTTAGCCAGTTAAGAAGCCCACCTTCCCCTCTCCAAACACCAAACACAGTATCTGGAAAAAAAAAAAGAAAGTTTTTGGCTTCTCGGCCGCTGCCGGCCACCATCGTCCCGAGCCGCGGGCAGGTGGGCGAGGGTTGCACATGTAAACGGTGGCCCCGCATCCCTGGGGGCTGCGGACACAGAGGCAGCAGCAACAGTTAACAACCAATAAATAAAGGGTGTCAGTTATATATGCATATAAAAAAAACTCACTTTCCCCACAAAAAGCACAATACTGCTATCACAAAACGGCATCATCGGAGTGAGTCCCCCGGCCACGCGGCGGTGGGCTGCTCGAGGACGGACGACAGTGACATTCCTCAGGCCGCCCCCCGACACGCGAGCCCCCCACGGCCAGGCCGTGACTTCCGTGGCCTCCCTGGCGGCCAGAGGACAAGGCAGGGTTCTCCAAGGTCCCCATCTGTCAGTCCGAATCTTCTAGAACAGAAGGTAGTGTTTTTTTTTTCTTTTTCAATGTCTGTCTGAAATGAAAAACAAAAGCAGACGCGGGAGAGCAGGGGACCGGGAGCTGCCGCGAAGCAGCTGGGTCCTGGTTCCGCAGGGGCTGGAGCCTTTCCGTCCTGTTGTCTCCTGGACAAGCGGAGGCTGTGGGCGATCGGGCCGGTGGCTCAGGCGGCGGTGGGTGCAGGGCGGGGGAAGGAGGGCCGGGCCTCGCCGCCCCGGGCAGCCCGGCTGCGCGTGGATGCGGAGAAAGGCTGGGTGCACACAGGAGGGTGTCGGGCCGAGGCAGCCTCATGGCATGGGAGGAGGTGAGTGGTTCCCAGGCATCTGGAAGACACAAGGAGGTGAGGCGGGTTCAGGGCGTGCTGCCAGGGTCATGCACGGAGCTGGCGGAAGAGTCGTCGAGAGGTCACGGTGGCGCGAAGTCAGGAGTTATAATGTGCACACCCTCCGGCCACCCATTGGGTGGCTTTGTACTCGGCCTTCCGAAATCAAGGTTTCCTATAGCATCGTCTGTAACAGCAAGATTACCACGGAGGAAGCCAGCCCAGGGTCCACACTCAGGCACCGGCTGGATAAGAAGGACGTAGCCGCAGGATGAAACCGCTTGCAACCATGAAGAACAAGGTGTGGACTGGCCAAGAGGCACGTGAGATGCTCAACAGAATCAGTCACAGGGAAATGCAAATCGAAACCACAACGAGACACCCACTAGGATGGCTACCATCCAAAACAGAAAGAACAAGTGTGGGCAGGGGTGTGGAAAATCAGAACCCTGGCCCACTGGGAACGTCAAAGGTGCAGCCTCTGCGGACACCGTTTGGTGCTTCCTCAAACAGCTACACTTGGAGTTCCCATATGACCCAGCAATTCTACCCCCAAAAGAATTAACATAGGGACTCAAACAAACCCACGCACCCCGATGTTCACAGCAGCATCATGCACAATGGCCAAAAGGTGAAAACCACCCAGATGTCCATCAGTGGCAGATAGATAAACAAAATGTGGTCTAGCCATGCGATGGAATATTACTCAGCCATGAAAAGGAATGAACTGACAGACGCTACAACATGGAAGGACCTTGGAAACACCATGCTGAGTGACAGGAGCCAGATGCAAAAGCCCACAAAATGTGTGGTTCCATTGATATGAAATTTCTAGAAGAGACAAATCTGTAGTGATAGAAAGCAGATTAGTGTTTGCCAAGGGCTTGGTGGAGTGGGGGTGGTTAGAAACTGCTTAATAGGTATGCATTCTTTTGGAATGATGCGAACATCTTACAACTACATAGTGGGGGTGGTCATACAACACTGTGAATGTATCAATGCCACCGAACAGTTTGCTTTAAAATGGCTAATTTTATATCATGTGAATTTTACCTCAGCAAGTATTTTTTAAAAAGCAGCACAAGGGCCCTGGCCAGTTTGGCTCAGCAGTTAGAGCATCAGCCTGTGGACCCGAGAGACCTGGGTTCGGTTCCCACTAAGGGCACGTACCTCGGTTGTAGTTTGTCCCCAGCCCTGGTTGGGCTTGTAAGGGTGGCAGCCAGTCGATGTGTCTCTCTCACATCGATGTTTCTCTCTCTCTCTCTCTCTCTCTCTCTCTCTCTCTCTCTTCCTTCCTCTCTCCCTCCCGCTCTATCTGAAGATGAATGCAAAAATGTCCTCAGGCGAGGATTAAAAAAAAAAAAGCAGCATGAAGGACGACAACCTGTTACTGTCTGCACCCCACACATCCTTCCCATAACCTACTCTACGTCCGTGTTAAACTGCATGTCCCCGCCCCCCGCACTGGACAGGTGGCAGTGTGTGACCCAAAGGGAACCAGTTTCCTGATTTGCGTAAAATGACCTGAAAACATGATCTGGGCCCGTCAGTAGCTGTGTGGAGGTGGCCTGGAGGAGTCAGAAGGCCCTACAGGACCAGTTTGGGTGGCCACTGTGGTGCTGGGGCAACGGGAGAGAAAGGCCTGGAGCAGCCGACCAGAGGGAGGACAGAGCGCCCCAGGGGAGGGGCCTGAGTCCTCCCGCCTCCCACTGCCCCTTGCTCCTGCCAACCCCAGGGGGCTCGGCTGGGTTTCCTGCCACATGCTTCACCTTCCACCGCGATCTGTGAGCCCCTGTAATGTGCAGCATGTATCTGCTGGTTAAAGCCACAAACATGATGAAACTCACTGAGTACATTTAAGTCCAGAAATTCATAATTATTTATCTAGAGAGAGATTAACGTCATTGGTCACCTCTGAAGGATGTTAGAAATCCAACTAATTTGGAAAACTGATAAAGAGAAAGAATCAAGTATCTATCCTGCCTTTCCTGTTAAATCCTAGGACTCAGGCTAACCGAATAGTTAATATGGGGAAGTCTGCCTTTGCAGACGTGATCCAGCTAACAAGGCAAAGGACGGCCCATCTGGCACCACCTGTGAATGAATGAATGAATGAATGAATGAATGGTGCTCACACTGCCAGCCACCACGTGGTGCCCAGTGGACACACACAACCCCAGCCGTGGGGTGTTCTCACCAAAAGTGCATCACATGGATGCCCTGCGGGTCTGACCGCCCCTTCCCAGGAAGAACAGGGAGCAGAATCATGGTGACACCACCACGGGTGCAATCAGCAAGCCCCACACCACGCAAACTCTACAGAACGTGCTTCTGGACCAACAGCAAGAACAACAACAACAAAAAAAAACGAAAGAAGACAATAGATAAAAATACACTTAAGAAACCTATCAACCAATTAACTGCAACATGTGGACTTTACTCAGAGTCTGATTCCGATAAACAAAGTTGAAAACGTTGGGGAGTTAACAAGAAACTGGGACACCAGCTGAAGATTGGAAAATATTAAGGGACTGATATTGAATTTCTGGTATGGAGGGTTGTTTTTTTTTTTTTTTTTTTTAAAGAACTGTTCTTTTAGAACACATTTTGAAATATTTATGTATGAAATAATATGATGTCTTGAATTTGCTTCAAAATACCCAGTGTGGGTGTGTGTGTGGGAGGGTAGAGATGGTACAGATTGGCTGTGAGTTGGTGATTCTGAAGCTGGGTGATGGGTACATGGTGTTACACTATTCTCTCTACAATGTACGTGAAGGCTTCCATAATAAGAATTTCTTTAATCCACCCCAAATTTTTCAACACCCTAAGGCTCCCACACCATGCGACTGGTTAAAGTATGGCCCGGCTCTATAATGGAATACTATGCAGCTATTAAAAATGATGGTCTCAAACAACAACAACAACAATGTAGGAAATATGCATGATCTCCATTTCCTAAATAATTCAGTGAATTCTGAATTATTATAAGGAACAGTAACTTATGCAGGAATTATGATACATCAGGAATCCGAGAAGGCAAATAAGTCACAAAAATGACAGAATACAAACTGGATGTGATTACTATCTAGTAGGCTCTGGAAAAGCCTTGGGAAAAGAGGAGGGTGGTGGGGAAGAGCTAATGGAGAGCCGGATCTGAAAAGCCTGTCATGGAAATAAAGTCACACCTGCATGGTGGGGTGGCTGGTGAGGGTACGATACGTGTTCACACAAACCGTGTTAAGGAAAGCTGCCGTGGATACACAGGATGTGGACTTCAGGCCAGCTAGGGTAAAACACGTTAAAAGTCTCTCTTCCTAGCGCCGAGTCTCCAAAAGAAAAAAATGTTTTCTATAAATTGTTCATTAAAAACAAGTAACGCTAACAACATATGGTTATGAACTCATTGTTGCTGAGGAAATACATACACATATATTCACAGAAAGCTGTGAAAAAAACAAAGAGTGTGATTCAAAAATAATAGGGACACCCATTAAATAAATTGCACCATATGACTTTTTCTTGGGGGGACACGTCAAGGACCCATGTTTATACTGCTTCTCGTGGCCTGGAGGAGACAATGCCATGTGTCACAGGATGGTGGCCATTGAGACCGTGGTGGTCAATGAATTAGACAACGAATTAGACAAGGGATCAGTACACACCATGGGCCCCAGCGTTGCATATTGAGAGTTTCCGAGATCACAGAAGTCACTGTGATTGTTCCTTTACAAAGTCATTTGATTATGTGTTCCTCTGTGCCCTCATTGCTGAGCACTACATTTTTGTGATTCTTTTTTTTTCTTTTATCCTCACCCGAGGACATTTTCCCATTTTTTGTTCAGATGGAGTGGGAGAGGGAGAGAGAGAGAGAGAGACATCGATGTGAAAAGGACACATCGAGTGGCTGCCACCCGCACAACCAACCAAGGCCGGGGACAAACTGCAATCGAGGTACATGCCCCTAGCGGGAACCGAACCCGGGTCTCTCTGGACCGCAGGCCGACGCTCTAACCGCTGAGCCAAACCGGCCAGGGCTTGTGATTCTTTTGAATCACTCTGGGCTCAAATGTTCACAGTGGTTTTATTTGCATTATATATTAAGGTTTTTTAAAAAATAGCCCTGGCCCGTTTGGCTCAGTGGTTAGAACGTCGGCCTGTGGTCCGGAGAGACCCGGGTTCGGTTCCCGCTAAGGGCATGTACCTCGGTTGCAGTTTGTCCCCGGCCCTGGTTGGTCGTGCGGGTGGCAGCCACTCGATGTGTCCCTTCACATCGATGTTTCTCTCTCTCTCCCTCCCTCCCACTCTATCTGTACAAAAAAATGGAAAATTGTCCTCTGGTGAGGATAAATAAATAAATAAATAAATAAATAAATATTATTGCCATTTATTTTATTTTTTAAATTTTGACTTGAAGACATTTTTTTTGCTTATCATCAGGTAGAGTGGGAGGAAGAGAAAAAGGAGAGAGAGAGAGAAACATCGATGTGAGAGAGACATCGAAGGTTGCCTCCCACATGACCCCGACCAAGGCCGGGGACTGACCGCAACCAAGGCACATGCCCTTGACCAGAATCAAACCTGCAACTCATTGGTCCGCAGGCGGATGCTCTAACCGCTGAGCCAAACCGGCCAGGGCTGCAATTTTATTTTTTAGACATAGTTTTTAATGTCCCTTCAGTGAAAATAGATTTCTTATGGAAAATAATAATCACAGAAGCTTCAAGACAGTATAAACCTCTTAAACAGAGTATTAGCACATCTCCGTGAGTTATGTAGATGTCTAAGCTCTGTACTATACACCTGAAACGAATACAACAATGAATGTCAAGTGTGATTGAAAAATTTAGAAAAAATTTTTTTAAATATCAGCAAATCAAGTCTGATGATACAGAAAAAGAATAACACAACATGACTAAGGTGGAGTTTATTCTAGGAATGCAAGGCTGGCTCAGCATTCAAAAATCAATCATTGTGCCCAGCCGGTGTGGCTCAGTGGTTGAGCATGAACCCCTGCACCAAGAGGTCGCCAGTTCGATTCCTGGTCAGGGCACATGCCCAGGTTGTGGGCTCAATCCCCATTGAGGGGCGTGCAGGAGGTGGCCAATCGATGTTCTCTCTCATCGATGTTTCCATCTCTCTCTCCTTCTCCCTTCCTCTCTCTCTAAGATCAATAAAGAAAAAACATATTAAAAGTAAACAAATCAGCCCTGGCCAGTTTGGCTCAGCGGTGAGCGTGTCAGCCTTCAGACCAGAGAGTCTGGGTTTGGTTCCCACTAAGGGTACGTGCCTCGGTTGCTGTTTGTCCCCAGCCTCGGTTGGAGTTGTGTGGGTGGCAACCACTTGATATGTCTCTCACATCGATGTTTTTCTCTCTCTCTCCCTCCCTTTCTCCCTCTCACTCTATCTGAAGATGGATGCAAAAAATAAAATAAAAATAAATAAATAAATAAATCAGTGTGCCCGGCCAGTATGGCTCAGTGGATTAAGCGTCGCCGTCGTCCCATGGACTGGGAGGTCTTAGCTCAATTCCAGGTCAGGGCACGTGCCCAGGGTGCCCAGGTTTCGGGCTTGGTCCCCAGTAGGGAGCATGCAGGAGGCAGCCAATCGATGTTTCTCTCTCACATTGATGTTTCTCTCTCCCTTCCTCTCTCTCTCTCTCTCTAAAAAAATCAATAAAACCATATTTTTAAAAAGTCAATCAGCACAGCCCTGCTGAGTTGGCTCAGTGGTTAGAGTTTCAGCCTGCAGATTAAAGAGTCCTGGGTTCGGTTCCCACTAAGGGCACGTACCTCGGTTGCAGTTTGTCCCCAGCCCTGGTTGGGGTTGTGTAGGTGTCTCTCTCACATCAATGTCCCTCTCTCTCTTTCTTCCTCCCTCTCTCCTTCCCCCTCTATCTGAATATAAATGCAAAAATGTCCTTGGGATTAAAAAGTCAATCAGCATAATGCATCATATTAACAACAAAAAAGAAAGAAAACCCATACGAGCATCCTGATGGATGCAGAAAAAATAACCCATAAAAGTCAACACAATTCATGATTTTTTAAACAAATAACTCCTAGCAATTTAGAAAACACAAAACTTTCTAAATATGATGAAAATCTATTTACAAAACACCTATAGCAAACATCCTAACGAATGGTCAGTGATTGAAAGCTGCCCCCCAAACCTACAGTGAAACGAGAATGCTCACCTTCACAACCCCTACGTGACACTCACTGGAGGACTCACCCGTGCGAGGAAGTGTGTGTGTGTGTGTGTGTGGGGGCACAGCAGGGCAGGAAAGGAAGAAACAAAATGTAGACAACCAAAATAATCTAAGACAGACTCTTAGATTTAATCAATGAATTTGGCAGGATCACAGCTATATGACCAATAAAGAAAAACCAATTGAATTTCTGTAAACCAGAAAAAAAATAGAAAATACAATTTTTAAATTACTATTTATAATACCATAAAAAAAAATCAATATGGGGAGGGGGCTATCAAAAGACTTGAAAGACCTTTTAGCTGAAAGCAATAACACGTTAGACAAAAAATGTAAAAGACCTAAATAAATAGTGAGATGTACCATTTGCATGGATTGGGACACTCAGCACTATAAAGATGACAGTTCTCCCCCAAATTATACTGTAGATTCAACTTATTCTCTGTCAAAATCCCAGCATGTGTGTGTATGTGCAGCAATTCATAAGTTGACTCTAAAATGTATGCAGACACGCAGACAGCCTGGAGCAGCTGAGGCGGTCTTGAACAAGGAGTGATGGATGTCACTCCCAAGATTAGGTTATAGAACGACTGCAGCTTTCACCTTGGGTCCTCTCTCTCCCTCCTTCCTGGGAAGCTCACCCAGACAGCGGTTGCCAGCCATGGTGTCAGGCAGCCCTGGGCAGAGGTCTGTCTATAAGGCGAGGAACCGAGGCTGCCAGACCAAATGAGTAGGCATGGGAGTGGGTCACCTCAGACAAGCCTTCAGATGCAACTGCATCCCTGGCCAAGAGCTGATGACCATCCCAGTCTACCTGAGACCGAGGGGCTGAATCTGGGACAGTCGTGGGCAAAGTGGGGTGGCTGGTCACGATGGCTTGACTGCATCCTCGTGAGAGACCCTGAGCCACGGCACCTAGCTGAGCCGAGCCCAGATCCTGATGTTTGTCCAGCTGCTGATCGGAGAACATACGTGGCAATAGGTCACTGATACCCCCTTCCCTAAAGGAGGTATTAAAATGGATGACGCACACGAGACAGGTGCTCAACTCCATGCTCATCAGAGACATGCACGTTAAAGTGACACCCATCGAAATGGCTACAGCTAGAAAGATGCAGAATAGCCGATGTCGGTGAGGGTGTGGAGGGTGTGGAGCGACCGGAGCTCCCGAGCACCACTGGTGGGAGTCTGAAGGGCCCGACCACGTTGGAACACTGGTCACGTCGACTCAAGCTCAGTGAACACATACCCCATGTCCTAGTTAACTCTACTCTTGGATAAATACCAAGAGAATGCACCACGTGTCCACCAGAGGATGTACAAGAGTGCTCATGGCTGGGGGCATCCACGCCCCACCCCCAGCACGGGGACAGAACAGGGACAGACCGAGCAGGTGTAGGGGAAGAAGAGGAAGCACAGGAAGACCCGTCCCTGCCGCAGCCAAGGCCTCTGTTAGCATCATTTTGCCCTCACAGCAAATCTGACCGGATGAAAAAAGACACCGCACTTGAGCTACTGATCAAGAGCCAGGAGCTCAGGTCTTTGACCCGCTGCCCGGAGAAGAGAAACTCCCGCTGCCCCCAGCCCCGTGGCCCCGACCTGGATGAGGACTGAACTTGCTAAGTGTTTTCAATCCAGGGAAACGTCTATTCAAGCAAACTGTCAGGCTGAGCCTGGATATATTACCGGGACAACGTGGAGGCCTCCCCCCACCAGCTGTGCCCACCCTGGCAGACCCCAAGCTGGGCAGGTGCTTATCTGCCAACCCTAGGTGTCCTGTGGCCGGTGCCCCCCCCCCTTCAGGCCCCAGGTGCCCCTGGACTCACCCAGCTCGGGCCTGGACTATACCAGCCCGTCGTAGAGGGACAGCGCCTGCACAATGGAGGGGTCGGCCTTGGAGCCCTCCTGGAACTCCTGCAGCGTCAGCTTCCCGTCCGCGTTCTGCAGGCAGAGAGACGGCTGAGGGCGGAGCGACCACCAGCCTCCCGACACAGGCATCGCTGGCCTGGACCCTGTCCCGGGGCTGGTCCCAAGAGAGCTTGCAAAGTGAGGTCAGGAGGGAGGCAACACAGATCACTAGGCAAGAAGAGTCGGCAGGAGACAGACCGGCACTTCCTGGGCTCGCGACCTCTCTGGGTGTTTCCTGGGGACTGGAGGTGACCGCAGGGCCTCCTGGGGCACGGAGTGAGCGCCCGCCCGCCCGTGAGCACGGCTGCAGAAAGTGCTGGCAAACTGGAGGCGCCGCTTAACTCCATCGTTATCCTTATCACTGCTACGAATTCCCTACATGGTAGTTGACCCCAGAGAGCTAAGAGCTTAATGCATTTCTCTTGGAAAGGCACTTATGTGATTCCTGGAGCTGTCTGCCCTGGACCCCAGGGGGCTTGGGGGGAGCCTGGCAGAGCTCATGCAAAGGGACTTAGTGGGTCTCTGAGAGGGGTGGTCAGGGCCAGAATCCCGTCCCCTGGAGTCTCTCTAGGAGACCTGTGAGCAGAGAAAAGGCCTTGGGGACCACCCACCCGACCTTGGGGGGAAAGCATGACGAGGGGTCCCCCAGCAGAGCAGGCCGTCCTACCCACTCATGCTCAGTGCACGTGCTGACCTCATGGGAACCTCACGCCTGCCCCAAGAGGAGGTGCTGCTCTTACTTTGAGAAAACTGAGGCCTGGCCACCTACCCAGACTCCCCTGGCTGGTAACGGGGAGCCTGAGCTAATAATACCCAGTCTGACTCCAGGGCGGGCTTGGTTTCCCAAGATGAGGGACGTAGGACTCGGGAGATTTAAGGAGTGTGAGGCCTTCGCGTGAAATAACACGGGACCACCCGTGAGGCGGTGGGATTCGTCCCTCTACACTCTGGACACATGTTTTGATCATTACCGAGAGCAGTGTCCTCTGAGCCGAATCTTCGCCCCTCCCCCTGGTTCATCCCCCTTTTTAAATTAAGGAAGCACAAGCCTCAGGCTCAAAGCTTTCGGGGCCTGGCTCCAGCCAGCACGTGATAATCAGCCCAACGTCCATGTACTGTGTATTCTTTTACTTAAGGCAAAGCAATACCTGGTTTCCCTACCACCCTGATACCAGATTCCCATTTAAAGCAAGGTTGTTTTAGCCCTAGTAAGTTTGGCTCAGTGGTTGGAGTGTCGGCCCGAGGACCAAAGGGTCTCGGGTTCGATTCCCACTCAAGAGCACGTCCCTGGATTGCAGGTTCGATCCCCGGCCCCAGTCGGGGTCATGCAGGAGGCAACCAATTGATGTGTGTGTGTGTGTCTCTCTCTCTCCCCGCCCTTCCACACTATCTAAAAAATCATTGCAAAAATATCCTCAAAACGAAAGTTTGATATAAAGGATTTCTTTTTTTTTTTTAATCCTCACCCGAGGACATTTTTCCACCTTTTGTACAGATAGAGTGGGAGGGAGAGAGAGAGAGAGAGAGAGAAACATCGACGTTAAGGGACACATCGAGTGGCTGCCACCCGCATGACCAACCAGGGCCGGGGACAAACTGCAACCGAAGTACGTGCCCCTAGCGGGAACCGAACCCGGGTCTCTCCGGACCGCAGGCCGACGCTCTAACCGCTGAGCCAAACCGGCCAGGGTGATATAAAGGATTTCTTAACGCAGGGTCCGTGGACAGAATTCAGCAGGTCTGTGAGCTCAGACGGGAAAAGAGGTCATGTTTTCACTCCCTCTCACTGAGATTTAGCTTTCCTTCCCATGAGGGGCCGGGTGATGATCCCCAAGATAGGCAGCAGCACCTGTGACCTTGTCACCATGGAGGTCACGGGAATTTCCGAACACGTCAGGCCGCCACAGGCGCCGCACACGCGACCACCAGCAGGCCCCACGCTCATAAAGAGGCCTCGGTGAGCCTGCGTCCCAGCTTCTTCCCAGCGGCATGCGGACAGCTGTATGCAAAGTGACCAGCTCCCTCTGTGGTCCCCCACAGACTTATCTGAAGTCCACAGGCTTCTTCAGAATGCCGAGGGGATCGATGGCAAAATATAAAAACGTTAAGAATCTTAGCGATAAAAGAAAAACCATCGGGCAAACTTACTTAAAACAGGATTGATGGGGAGGGCTGCCGACCAGACCAGTGGACACGTCCCCGGCTGTGCGCCTGCCTGAGCCAGGCCCACCGGCGGGATCTGTGGGGATGGGTCACCTCTCCCTGTGCTCTGGGACCCAGGGCCGTCCCCCCCTCTCCCCTCCCCATCAGGCCCAGCCTCTCCAGTCTCACCTTGTCCATCATGGCAAAGATCCGGTCCACCCTCTTCTCGGGGGTGTTCTCCTCCTCTGGGAGCTCCACCGTGTTCCCCTGCCAGGGACAGACAAGGTGGGGGCTGGGCTCCGGCTCTTGAGACCTGGGCTGCTTCCAGATGACGACGGCCTCTCCGGCTCCCTCCCAACGCCCCCGCCACCTCTTCCATTCTGCTCTGGGACACGCCGCCCAGCCCAGCCCCACCTTCCTCCCAAGGAGATGTAGGGAGTGGCCCCAGGCAGTGACCCTCACCTGGCCAACTCCCCCCTGGCAAGAGAGGGGCTGCCCTGGCTTGGTTCCTCTGGGCCAAGCCGAGTCACCAAATTGGCGACCCCCTGCACCCCTGCCACCCCGGCGCCCCCGGCCCCAGCCCTCTCACCACCATCTGGTAAATGGCGTCCACAATGTCTAGCATCTCGTTCCTGGTGATGTAGCCGTCGTTATCCAAGTCATAGAGCTTGAAGGCCCCTGTAACCAACCAGCCAGGCAGAGTCAGCTGGGCCAGGGCCGGGGACACTGCTCCCCGCCTTCTGCACCTCAGCACGCAGTCAGGACCCGCCGCCATCCTCATCCGGCCAGTGAATATTCACATCAGGACAGACAAGGGCACACACACGCGGACACACACACGCCATTTCCACTAGGACGTGAAGAAAGAAACTACGAGTAGAAAGGAAGGGGCACTGGAGCACCAGGCCGCCTCGGGAGAACGGCCCGAGGTCTCCCAGCGCGACCCTCCCCCCCTGCTCCAGCCTCTGCTGCCCCTCAGCCTCTCCCCTTCCAGCCACACGGTGTCCCTGTGGCCAACTTAGAAAATGAAACAAGACGCCCAGGGTACGGGAGAGCTTTTGCATGAATAAAATCCTTTTATTCCTAAAAAAAGAAGGGAGAAACCGCAGGGTTTTCTCGCTACTGACACGGGCAGCGCCAGCGTCGTGGTGAGCTGTGAGCCTGGCCCAGCTGGTTCATCTCAGCAGCTTCTCGTCCCTCCTCCCCGTCCCAGCGTGTGCCTGCAGTCTGCCCGCGGCACCCTTCTCTCGCCTCCTCAGGGCCTCGCACAGGCTGTTCCCTGCCTGCAGCCCTGCCCCTCCCCCTCCCCCTCCGCCCTCTTCCCTCCTCCCTCCTCCCCAGCCCCTGGGCTCCGCTCTGACTCCTTCCAGGGTCAGCGCCCCTCCCTCTTCCTGTCTCGGTTTTATGGAATTTTTACAAGTCATGTCTCCAGGCCAGACTGAGCCTGAGAACAGGTGCCCGGCTATCTGATCTCACCCCCCAGGGCTCCTGGCCTCCTGCCCGGCACCGACACGTGGCCCTGTTCGGTCAATATCTGTTCGGTGAACGAGTGAGTAAGAATAAATGAGGTCCTTCATCAGAACAGCGGCCTCCTAAGTGGGGGGTCCAGCACTCCGTGAGCCCATGCCCGCCCCTGCCTGCGCGTCCCCTTCGTCCCCTTCGTCCCTGCCCCACCTGGCCACCCCGCCTGAGTAAGCCACGTTCCTCCTGCACGGCCACCTCCAGGACCCTCCTCTGACCTGAAAAGGCAGACGGACTGTGCCACGCTCTCAGGCAGTGACAGGTGGCCTGGCCCGGTTCTCTGGCGCCCCCTGGCCTGGGACCTCCCGGTGGCTGCCCAGCAGAGCCCAGGGGACGGACTTACACCGCAGCTTCTCGTCCAGGGTTCCCCTCGAGGTCACCGACAGCGCCTGGATGAACTCAGAGAACTCGATCCTCCCATCCTGGCAGGAGAGAGAGGGGCGGGGTGGCCCCAGTCAGCCGGGCCACCTGGGCAGGCCAGGCCTTGGGCAGGTGGCGGTGAGCAGCAGCAGGCACCAGACAGCGCGGCAGACAGACACCCACGTGGAGAGGGCAGAACCAGGAAGGGGGAGGGGAGGGAGTCGGGTTAGAAATGGGACAGGGCGGGCAGCAGGGACAGGAAGAAGGGGTGAGGCTAAAGGGAGGGCCCAGCGCCACCTCTGATGGGAGAGCCGGAGGACCACCCACACACACTCTGGGCCGAGGCCACCTGGAAGTCCCCTCCCCCTTGGCCTAGAAGCACAGGCTCAGGGCTCTTGAGGAAGACAGGGCTCTAGACTTTAATCCCACCTATTTGTTTTGCAAATGAGGAAACTGAGGTGCAGAGAGCCTAAAGCTCACCCCAGGGCCAGGCAGGGTGACCCGCAGCTTGGAGTCACCTGGGGAGGAAGCCAGGGCAGGACAGACAGAAAACCTGAGTGCCCCAGAGCGGGGGTGTGGAAACCAGGCACCGAAACTCCACTGTGGGCACAACGGCACCAGGACGCCCCGACAATGGATATGCCAACTGCTGGCACAGCCGCCACCAGGAGGGGACACGCTACTACACAGATGAGCCTCAAAAACACGATGCTCAGTGAAAGACGCCAAACCCAAAGACTCCATATGGCCTGATTCTCAGAACCTCAGTTTCCTCATCTGCAGATGGGAGTATTAAAATGACCTACCCCACAGGTTGTTAGTCCTCACTAAAAACAATCCACATAAAGGGCTGAGCACACTGCAATGTTCAGTAAACGTCTGTGCTGATTACAAAGCCTGTTACTGTCCCTGGAAGCATGTGTATTTGGTGCTAGTAAGAAAAAGATCAAGGTATACACGTGTGTGCATGTGTGTACACATGCATTTGTGTGCACACATGTATCCCTGTGGTACACGCATGTGCATATGTGAGTTCATGCATTGTGTACATATACATGAATTTGTATATAATGTGAGGGTATGTGTGTGCATCTCTGTGTGTGCATGCATGTCCGTGCATTGTACACATGCATGCATTTGTGCACATGTGTGGGTACGTGTGCATCTGTGTGCATTGTGTGCGTGCATGCATGCATGTTCATGCATTGTACCTGTGCATGCACTGTGTGTCTGTCTGTGTGAGCTGCTGAGTGTACACGTGTGTGTGTTCCTTCTCCAGGACGGAACCTCGCAGGAGAGTGGGTGTGGAGGTGCTGCAGGGACCCACAGGAGCAGGCTGCTGCAGGGGAGGACTCGGCCGGCACAGGCCCATCCATCCCCAGCTCACCTTGTTTTCGTCAAAGACATTGAAAACAAACGTGGCGAATTTGGTGGGGTCTCCAAAGGGGAAGAACTGCTTGTAGATCTTCTGGAAGCCCGCCGCATCCAGCTGCCCGCTGGGACAGTCCTTGATGAAGCCTTTGTACCTGAGGTAACAGACCAGGTGTGTGAGGGTAGAAGAGATGCCAACAACACCCACCTGCCAGGAGCTCCTGCCCCGTGCCCTGAAGCTGGAGGGTCCCTGTCCAAAGAGACAGTGACACATGGGGGTCCTGGGCACAGACCTGGACGTCATAAGCATGGGTCATCGCACCTCCTCCTCTTGCTAGATCTGTGACCTGAGACAGGTGACTGAACTTCTCTGAGCCTCACTTGTACAAGGGGTAAGAGGCACATGACAAGTAACCCAGACAGTGTGCACACAGCAGTTGGCCACTCAGCCCGTGCTCCCCACAGGGGGGCTAAATCAAAATTCACCCCAACAACATCCCCAAAGCTACGCTTTTGCACAAAACGATTCTTTCCCCAACACTTTCTCCACGGAGCCCTCCCCCCCCCCGCCAACAGAATCAGCGGCTAGTGGTGCTGGCAGAGCTGGTGGGCAGAGCCACCATATGGGGCCGGCAGCTGGCTCCTCCCTCATGCCTGCACCCCAATACACATCCCTACCCCCCCACCTGTTCCCAAGAGCAGCAGTGGGAGCTTGGCGGGAACCTGGCGTGTTCCAAGTGGACTTGTCCACCGTGCACTCTGTCCCGAGGGCAGAACCCTCCATACCCGGAGGACGGCAGCGTGGCTTTGCAGCCCAAATCCCCACTCTGCCATGTGCTAGCCGTGCAACCTCAGGCAAGTGCCCTCACTCCCTGAGCCTCAGTCTCCTCATCCATAGAGGGACAGCTGTCACACCCATCTGTCAGGATCGAGATGGTGCATGTGGCATACGTGGGTAAAGTCCACAGCAAGACCTTTAGTATCACACACTGAAGTGAGGAGGATCCCAGTACCAAGGGAAGCCAGAGAGACGGACCGGCCATTACCAGCTACAGCTATTACCTCCCGGTCACTCTGAGATGGGAACTTGGCAAACCTCCATCTCCTAAAATAAGATGCTAACAGCCCCAGCGAGGTACTGGGATGAAGCCCGCTGAGGATGAGGAAACCGAGGCTCGGAGAGTAGGTCTGAGTCCCCGCAGCCCGGCTGGAGCCGAGACGGGGCTGGAGGGTGAAGGGCCCAGATGCTCAGACACTAGATCCCTGAAGACCTGCACACCTGTCCCACTGCGCTCTGCCTGACCGAGACCCCCGGGGGGTTCCTCTCTCCTCTCTCGCGCCAGGGGAGGATTCTGGGAGCACAGAAAAGTCCTCGAGAAGCCACAGCTCCCCTACCCATTAGAGAACAATCTAGGGGCCTGGGATGGCGCTGGTCACACAAGGACCCGAAGGGACATGCAAGGCACCGAAGGAGGGAACCTTGGAGGGAACCTTGGGGAGCGCAGCCTAAATGACGGCGGTCGGACTAACCCGTCAGCAGCGGGAGGTGGCAGCACTGAGCCGCTCTGGTGGGGCTGGCAGGGGCGCCCCCAGAGCATTGGTGGGGGCTAGCGGAAGCAGAGAGGTGGCCCCAGCGGGGCCTTCAGGGGGCCCTTCTGGTTATCTCTGCAGACTGTCACTGTCACTGTGGGGTCCCAGACCCCCCTAGTGGCATCAGCAGGGGCCCCAGGAAGCCACCCCCATGAGCAGTGACCACTAAGGGTCGCCTTAGCCTCTTCTTGCCAACTGCCCCCATATTTCACACCCAGACTTGCCACGCCATGTCTAACCTCCAGACCTTTGTACCTGTAGGTCATTCTGCCTGCCAAGCACATCTTCCTCCACTTAATCAGCTAATGCACTCGTCCGCCATGTCCCAGCTTAGATGTCACTTCCTCCAAGAAGTCCTCCCAGGCTGCCCAGAAGCCACATGGCTCCTCCACTCCCACACCCCTTGAATGTGCCCAGCACAGTACAGACCACGCCTCCAGGCTGGGTCCCCCACCCGAATGTGAGCTCCCTGCCATGGCAGTACCCCAAGGCCTGGGGTGGGGCCTGGCATAGAGTGGGGGCCTTAGTAAATGTCCAATGAGATGAATAAATGGAATGAATGAATGCATGTGTGAATGAATGCACGAACACACAAGCTGCCAGTCAGAGAGAGCGATCTTCTTCCTGAGCCTCAGAGCTCCCTGCAAATGGTTAGAGAACCACTAATGTGCTCCCCGCTTCCAGGGATTGATGGGGAGCTGGGTGCCCAGAGAGGGAGAGAGACTGGCCCAAGGCCACACAGCAGCAGGAACAGGGCTCAGACCCAGGGTTCCCACCTCGCCTGCCCCTCCAGGAGCTGGGCTGCACCACCCGATGTCAACAGGAGTGAGCACTTGCCACCCCAGCGCTGCACACCCCACTGTCCGTCATCAGAAGGTGGGGGCACACTGCCTCGCCCAAGCAGAGAAGAGGTCTGAGCTGCTCCAGAAAACCCAGTGTCCCTGGGCCCCGAATTCGCCCTGCAGGTCATCACAGCTCCGAGGCCAGCACTTCATGCCGCTCGAGGTCCAATCCTGAGGTGCAGCCCATCCCCCACTGGCTGGCTGAGTCGGGACACCCCACTCCAGGCACACACCCCACTGTGGGCACCCGAGGGAGCTGCTGCCTCATAATAAAGTTCATGCCCAGAAATTCCTTCCCCACCCGGGGCCCAGGCCTCAGGTTCCAACAGGCCCGAGCCTCCTCCCTCTCCTCCTGCCGGCCCCTCCCTCTCCTCAGACTCAGTGCAACCAGAAAACCTGCCCCTCCGCCGGGCGCCCAGGAGACGTGGCCTGTGGTCCCAGCCTGTCTCGCTGCTGCAAGAGGAACCCTGAGCAAACCCCTTCCCTACAACATCCCTCGATTTCCCTGCTGGTAAAAGGAGCGGTGCAGACCAGAGCAGGGTCCCTCCACCCAGCACCACTGACGTTTGGGCCTGGATGGTGGGGTACCCCTCCCCCCAGCTATGACCACTAAAAGTGCCTCCAGACATTGCCAAAGTCCCCAGGCAGCAGAACCACTGGACTAGCTGGTCTCTGGGGACCCCCACAAACTTGGGGGTGTCTGCCGCAAGCATGTGCCTGTCCGGCATCGGGCCCCCACTGAACGAGGCATAAGCCTCCGCGCTCTCCCACCTGTCCAAGCCCAGGAGGCTAGGACTACTGTGCCTCTTGTACACACGGGGAAACTGAGGCTGGGGACGGTTAAGTCCCCTCCAGGCTCAGGGCCCTTCACACATCCTCTGCTCGGCCCACTCTCCCTCCTCCTGACCCCGCTGACCCTGCTCACGCCTTCTCTCGTGGCTCCCGTGCATCCCCCTAGAGCAGCCCCCAGACTGGTCACACACACTCACAGCCCCTACCCCTGGGCGGGAACTCGGTGGCGCCTCACGCAGCTGTGCCTGAGGACGTGTGACCTGCGTGACGATGGACCGGTGAGTGCAGAGACCACGTCTCCCGCCTCACCCGAGGCTGCAGAGCCCACCACTGCGCCTGGCACACCGAAGGGGCTCAGCAAACGCTGACCGGGGTCACACAGCCAGGAAAGAGGCCAGAACGAGAGCGCTGGCCCCCCTCTGTGCTCGGTGACATCCTCCCGGGCTCTCGGGCACCCAGGGGGGCCGGCCGGGCCCTGGGCCCCCCGCAGCCTGCTTTCTCGGCGCCCCTGCTCGATTCCCGACCCCAGTGGCAGCAACAGTGGTCCTGGCATTGTCGTTGGCACAGGTCAGGCCCGGGGGGGAGGGGGCACAAGAAGCATCCTGATGTCACAGTTCTCACCGCTGACTGGTAACTTGGGGTGACCAGCATAGTCAGGACTTCGGGGCTGGATCTCAGGGCCCAGCCCCCGAATCTCCAGGCACCACGGAGGACAAACGGCCCTGGGGGTGCACAGCGCAGCCCCCCACCCCACGCCCAGCCGCCGGGAGGACACCCCCTCAGACGAGTGCTTCCAGCGTGTAGCGGACAGAAGCGGGCGAGGGCTGCTGCTGTCCTCGACCCTGTGCCCCTGTCTCCCTGGCTGCACTGGGCAGGCAGGACCCTAACACAAAAAAGGAGCTTCGCTTAAGGTGTTCGAGTTTGAAGTTTAACAAAAACTGAGAAAGGCTCAGGCTTCTGAGTCAGACTTGGCTCGATCCCCGCACCTTGACCTGGGGCTTCCCCTTTCTGAGCCTCGGTTTCCTCATCTGTGAGGTGGGAACCAAGACAGCCCCTGCCTGTCAGGCCTGAGCCTAAACAAATGGCGGCAGGACTGTGGACAAAAAGGAGGTCGCACATGTGCCCAACACCAAGCCGCCCGCAGCTCCCCCAGGAACCAGAGCCCCAGATGCCACTGGACAGCTACCCCCACTGCCCTGTCCTGCCAGCTGTCCAAGGTGGAGGCTCCAGCTTCGAACCCAGGAAGCCCTTCATAATACCTGACCTTCTGGGGACATGCTGGGACCCCTCGATGCCCCTCCACCCAATCACTCAGCCTGAGGCTGCCCCTCACACAACCCCGTTCAAGACCAGGGGTCTGAACTCTCCAGGGACAGGCGACCCCTTGGGGAATGAGAGGGAAGCTGTGGGCAGAGGGGGGGACAGGCACGGTCCGGGGCACCACACACGTGGTCTCCAGCGTGAGCACGGTGTGGCGTGGCTGCCTGGGCCTGGGGACCGCTCTCTGCGACGGGAGAGGCGAGAACAGAAAATCCCACATCTAACAACTGCGTTCTCACTCACGCTTCTTTCACCGCGAAAGGGAAAAAGAATCTGTCAGTTCACAAAAACACTGAAGGCTCAACGCCACTTACAAAGCGCCCCCGACTGGATGCTGGGCTCCCTCCCCGCGGGCCTCCCACGGCCTTCTGTCCCACTGCGCCAGCCTGTGTCCCCCAGGAGACTCCAGGCATCGCGTGTCCCTCAGCCCCTGCCACCCCCAGAGCCTGGCACCGGCTGGGCACATCACAGGTGCTCAGTAACGATGTACTGAACAAACAAACCAGCAAACGATGGCGTGAATGAATGAACAAATGAATGGTAGCAAGTGAACAAAGGAATGACAGTAAATGAACGAACGAACGAACCCTCGCCATGACACACTGACCGGTCCACTTCCAGCTCGGCTTCTCGTTCTCTGAGGGCCCCGAGGAAGCCCCTGCGCTGCCGGGGCCTCGGTTTCCCACAGGCCAGGCCCCGAGGACTGTCTGGAGCTCACTGCCCTGTTCCCACAGTTCTCTGGGACCCGGCTTGCACGGAGCCAGAGCCCGCACGGCCCTCCCTGCCAGTGGCCCTCCCGCGCCCCTGCAGCCGCGCTCTCCAAAGCACATCGGTGGGAACCAGGCAGATAAACAGGGAAACAAGGAAGCCGAACCGCAGCTGCCGCAGCCGAACGCAGCTGGGATGCAAGCACGGCGGCCTCGGAACGGATGTATCCTCTCTGCAAACAACTCCCTTCTCCTGGCGTTCTCCCGCGGCTGCCTGGACCCTGACTTCCCACGACCCTGGAGGAGGGTTCCAAACACATCCAGGGGATGAGGCCGCCTGCCCTCTCCTCGCCTCACCCCCACCCCCTGCCTCTGGCTTGGAGGGGCTTCTCAGAGCAAAAGCCAGCGGGTCTGAGCCCTCACAGCCTGGGCCACGGAGGAGCTAGCTGGACCCAGACCTCACACACACAGCTGTGGGACCTGGGCACGTGTCTCCGCCGCTCCCAGCCTCAGTCTGTTCATCTGTAAAATGGGGATCCCCGGGCCTTTCCTGGCAGCACTGGTCTAAGTATTAGCACAGTGCCCAGCCCACAGGGGTGCCCGCAGGTGAAGGAGAGGCTGTGTCCTACATGAGCTGGTGTTGCAGAATGGTCCAGGTCCACAGCTGTAGGGTTCCTCCTGCCCCACTCACTGTGTCTGTGACAATATACTGCCAGGCTATCGGTTACTATAAAAGTAATAATAGCCCTGGCTGGTTTGGAGCGTCAGCCTGTGGACCAGAGTCTAGGGTTCGATTCCAGTCAAGGGCACACACCTCAGTTGTGGTTCAGTCCCAGCCCTAGTCGGAGTCATATGGGAGGCAACCAGTCGATGTGTCCCTCTCACATTGATGTTTCTCTCTCTCTCCCTCTCTCCCTCCCACTCTAGCTGAAGAGAAATGGAAAAATATCCTTGAGTGAGGAGTAAAAAAATAATAATCATATGCCCTGGCTGGTTTGGCTCAGCGGTTAGAGCGTCGGCCCGCAAACCAGAGTCCCAGGTTCGATTCCGGCCACGGGCTGCTAGACCTTGCTTGCGGTTCATCCCCAGCCCTGGTTGGGGTTGTGTAGAGGCAACCAATCGGTGGGTCTCTCTCACATCAATGTTTCTCTCTCTCTCTCCTTTCCTTCCTCCCTCCCTCTCTATCGGAAGATAAATGGAAAACTGTCCTTGGGTGAGGATTAAAAAATAAAAATAATAATAAGTAAATAAAAGTAATAATAGCCCTGGTGGAGTGGCTCAGTTGGCTGGATGTCGTCCTGTGCACCTGGGGGCTGCCAATTCGATCCTGGGTCAGGGCACCCGGCAGGGGTGTGGGCTCGACCCCTGGTAGAAGGCGTGCAGGAGGCAGCCTGTCCGTGTTACGCTCTCACATCGATGTTTCTCTCTTCTCCCTCTCTCTAAAAATCAACAGACTGTTCTTTAAAAACTTAAAAAAATAAAAGCATCCGCTCACTTGCCTTATTTTTTTTTTTAACGTAATAACAGCATTACAGAAAAACTGGAAATCAGAAAATGTAAGAGGAAAGAACTACCCATAGCCCACGATGCCACCACCTCAGCCGGCACACCAGGGACTGTGATTACGCCTCTGAGGGCCTGGGACCTGCCCTAATCAGCCCCCCTGTGCCTCCTGACCTTCCACCGGGATGACTCAGCTCAGGTGTCCTCATCTACGAAAGGCCGTGATGGGACGGGAACGCGAGGATGGGGCAAATGGGAACACATCTCGAGCCTCAGTGTCCCCTCTGAACAGTGACCGGGAGACCGTGGCAGGCGGTCTTCCTTTGGGCCTGTGCTATGACCTGTATAGGAACCGTCTCCCCAGGGCACGCTCTCTCGGGTCACACACATGGGGACGGGCTCGGGAGCCAGTCATCCCGGGTCCCCAGGACAGGAAAGACAGAGCCAGGACTCTCGGGCTCACTCTAGACCACCAGGCTTTACCAGGGCTCACCCGGTCGGGTCCACATCCCAGTGACAGATGACAGGCCGCGCTCCCTCCCCGCCAGGGCAGGCGTCACTAATCCATCACAGGGCTCATTAATCGCTGACTGCCCTCCTTCCCGGGGGCTCCATGACACACAGCCTCCGTCCCACGGCACTCGGGCGGCTACCACGGGCCGACTGGAGCCGGCATCCGGGAGCAGACCTGCCTGCCGTCCTCGGCCCAGTCTAATCGAGCGCTTTATAGAACAGACGGCTGAAGCTGTCGGAAAAGGGGGCGGACTTCTCAAGGCCACAGGATGAAGTAGTGACAAAGCTGGGCCTGGGACCCTGTATCCTCACTTGTTTCTGGCCCGACTCCTCCCTCTGGTGAGCAGGGCCTGAATTAACCATTCAGAGCCCGGTGGCCCTCAGCGATGTCTCACGAGGCAAGCAGCCACCAACAGCCATCCCCACCCCACCCGCTTGATTTGGGTCCAGGCCAGTGTGTCAGGAACAGAGGCTGCCTGGACTGGTTTGTGGGTGAGCTACCCTCAGAGGCCGCTCCCCGTGCCCCTGTCCCACCAGCACAAAGCCCCCCCCCCCAACCCTTCGGGGCGGGGGAGCTACTCACCACTGCTGGACTTCCTTCTCGGTAACTGCAGGAGAGAACAGACAGAGCCTTTAGTCCAGGGGGTGGCCCAGGGGAAAGGCATACATTGGGGAGCCCCCTTCCTGTCCTCCCAGCCCACCCCGCAGCCCGCCTGCCTGTGCCGGAGCACCAGCTGGCCCTGAACAGGACATGCCCCCGTGACCAGTCCCAGTCAGGAGCTCTGTGTCCGGCCCCGCAGCAGGGGACAGCGCTGGCCCATCCCGCCAGAACAGCCTCCTACACCCAGGGGGTGGCTTCTCCCTGCCCTCCTGGGTGAACATTTAATATACATGCTTCCCTCTCTCTGCCCCGGGGACATGACAGAAGGTACAGGCTCCCCACTTCCTCAGCCCCGCGGCGCCCGCACCCTGCCCCCGCCCTCCCTCCACCCCACAGTATCAGTCCCGAGTTCTTTCCCAGCAGGATGAGAACCGAGCGGTGAACCACAGGCTGGAGCGAGACAGATACAGAGTCTGCACCTCCAGCCAGGCCCAGTCCTTCTTTACGGAACGTGCAACAAACAACATAAACGTGTGGGGTTTTTTTCTGGAAAGTACTGAACCGGTTCAATTTGGAACCAAAGCAACATTCTCTGTAAAATCACTGAACGAGAAGATCTAACCACCAGGGCCACGCCCACTACCTGCGAGGGTGACCTCAGAGAGCAAGGTGACCTCAGAGAGCAGCCCCAGCTCCCGGGCCTCCGCTTCCTCATCTGGAAAGTGGGAACAATCGTCACAGGAGCTGTCCCGAGAGCTCAGCCACAACAGGGGTGAAGGGCCCTGGCTCCCAGCGCTGCAACGTGCCCCGCACAGGCTGGCGGTCGAGCGCGGGAGCCGATGAACGCACGCGTGCACACGCGAAGAGACCAGAAGGCCGGCGTCAGGCGGAGGTCAGGTGAGCAAGAAACTGGACTCCTTCCCAGGGAGAGGGAAAGGAGGCCCGAGGGGGGTCCCTGAACTGTGGGCCTCATCAGATTTGAGGCCACTTTTCAAAAACGGCTTAGAGCAAGCTGTTAACAAGCGCCGAGGCCCCAACGCCCACTGCACGCCCGGATCTGTGCCAGGGCAGCCGGGGCCTCTGTGGCTGTTGGCTCAGCTGCCCTGGCAACAGCTCCAAGGGGAGAGAGCATTACTCTGTCCTGGCTCCACGGGGGGAAACTGAGGCACGTGAAGCGGTAGGGAGAGGGTCTGAACTCAGGGCCTGACTCACAGCCTGGAAGCCCCCGCCAGGCCCCTCCTCACCCCCTCCGCCTCCCCCAAGCCCCATCAGATGCGGAGGAAGAGGCCTGTCCACCAGCAGGCCGCTCAGAAAAGGAGGGGCCATAACAGGAGATGCTGGTTACCCGCAGCAGCCGCTGGTATAAAAGATGCCGCTTTCCAAGAGAGATCTGGCAGAGAGTAGGGGTTGGGAAGGGGGTCACACATGGGGGCAGGGGGCGGTGTCCCTGGTCTAATGGGGTTAGGCTGTCCTGGTCCTGCCCCCCACACCTGGTAGTGAAGGGCAACAGGGGCGGAGGGGCTGAGGCTCAGAGGCCAAACCTGGGGACAAAGGAGACTCGCCACAGCACAGCCAGGAGCTTAGGGGCACGGACTCGAGTCAGACTAGACCACCTGGGTTCAAATCCAGCTCCACAGCTTACGAGCTGTGTGTCCCTGGGCAAAGTACTTCCCCTCTCTGAGCCTCAGTTTCCTCATCTGTAGAATGGGCTTATTTCGAAGAGTAAAATGCTTGCTCAGTACGATCTCGTTTTCCCGATAAGGAGACTGAGGTTCAGATGGGTCAGCTGACTTGCCTGATGTCAACCGAGGTCACCCTGCCAGGAAATGACAGGGCCAGGACTATGCCTCAGAGCCCAGCATGGACGCCCACTTAAGGGCTCCCCCCCTCCCCCTACCCGAGTCAGCCAATGATCTTCGAGACCTTGTGTGACCTTGGCATCATGTGACATAAACAGCAGGACCTGGGGGGCAGGACCTCCCAGGGCCAGAGACGGCTTCCCAGGACTCTCGGCTGAGTGGTCCTCGCCTTCCCCAGACACTGCAGGGTCCCTCCTCAGGGCCTCTCAGCCTCCAGCCACCCTTGGCCCCCAAGCTCCACCCCCTAGCATGAGGGGACATGATTGGCTGTCCCTCCCTCATTAGAGGGGACCCCAACAAGGAACACAGGGGACCAGCAGGCAGCCGAGCCCCACCCAGTGCCTGAAGCAGCTAATTCATCTTCCAGAAACAGACGAGGCCGGCAGGTGTCCCAGCACCACGCCACTGCCCACTGCCCGCTTCCCTGCCCGGGGTCTGGGAGAGTCTCGGAGGAGGGTGGGCAGCAGGCAGCAGTCTGAGGGCCCAGCCCCCTGCCCCTCCACCAGGCTCAGACAGGCCTGCGTCCAAATCCCAGCCTCCCACTTACCAGCTCCCACCCCTCCCTGGGGTTGAACATGTGACCCTCACTGTTCATTCGGGTGAGGAAGTGGGCCGGAGCGGCCACCTGAGGGAGGACCCAGGCGGCGGCCAGAGGCACCGCAGGACCTCTGCCCCGCCTGCCCCCCACGGAGAACTGTGATCTTTCTAAACACCGTGTGGGCCTCCAGCCACTCCCACGCCCCTCCCCCTCCCCGTCCTCCTGGCCGATGATTCACTCGGGATGCTTCCTTAAATCAGCTCACTTCCTTTCACTTACTCGTGTCATCTAGCTTCCGTCTAAGCGATAACAGCCATCACCTTACCAGTGACACGTGCTAGTCATCTTTTCTAAACACGGTGACGATAAACCGTTAAAAGATGACTGCTTTGATCACCCCTGGCCTCCCCATCATAAAACACCAGGACAGGGCCCCGGTTCAGTGCGGCGGGAGTGCACGGGGCGTTCTCCTGCCAGGAAGCGTTACCCCGAGTCTACCCACGAGGACGCCATCGGACAAACCCCGCTGTCCTACAGACCGTGGGTCAGACACTTCAGTAAGTCAGCGCCCTGACAGGTGACACAAGGCAGGGGCTGTCCCAGGGGACGAAAGAGACAAGGCATGGAAAGCAACTCGCGGGGCCTGGACCGAGTCCTGGGTCTGGAACGTGAACCAGCTCGTGGGCACTGCCGGGACAGCCGGGGCAGCCGCACGGGGGCTGGCGATCAGATGCCCTGACACACGTCCACTTCCTCAGGATGGAAGTCATGTGACAGAATGTCCTGTCCCCTTGGAGCTGCGCCTGAACTACTCCGGGGGAGGGTCAGGGCGCCTGCTGCTGCTGGTGACAGGTGCAGAGACACACGAGTGAATCTTTGGAGAGAGAGAGGAAGCAAATGTGCGAAAACGTTGACAGCTGCAGACCCTGCAGAAGGTCCCCGATTGGGACAGGGCTGCATCCCAGGACACCCACTGTACACTGAAGATGTCTTCAGCTGAAAATGCCTTGAATACAACACTGCCGTGACCCCGTGGCTGGCCGAGCTCAGTGGGCGGCCCTGCCCAGATCACCCAGAGTATCTGATGGGATATCTAGCCCAGGAAAAGAGCAAAATTCAAAATTTGAAGTATGGTTTCTACTGAATGTGTATCACTTTCCCACCACTGTGAAGTTGGAAAATTGTAAGTCAAGCCCTGGATGGTATTTCTCAGTGGTTAGAGCGTCGGCCTGCACACCAAAGGGTTGCAGGTTCGAGTCCTGCTCAAGGGCACGCACCTGGGTTGCAGGTTCAACCCCCGGCCCTGGTTGGGGTGCGTGTGGGTGGCAGCCAACCAATGTGTCTCTCACATAGATGTTTCTCTCTCCCTCCCGCTCCCTCCCTTCCTTCCACTCTCTCTAAGAATCAATGGAACAATATCCTCGGGTGAGGATTAACAAATTAAAAACATCGTAAGTCAAACCATCTTAAGTTGGGGACTGCCTGTAACTGAAGGATACACAGGTGCTCACTGCATTATTATTTCAATGTTTCTTTTGATTTTCCCAAATACAAAGTTGGGAAGAAATGCTTGTTCTCATCCACAGTCTGTGTGCCCCCACGCCCCAGAGCCAGCTGGGCCGGGAGTCCTGTCCAGGGTCCTGACCCTGAGCCACTCCAACCATCACAGGCACTGGGAGGGAAGAGGAATCTAGGGGACAATTGTGGGGTCCCTCCTCTGCCCAGATAGCCAGACTGACATTCCCCGGCTCAGACTCCCCAGCCAAGCCTCCCCCCTGCCCCGGAGCCTCCATCTGAGTGTGAAGTTAACAGGCAGCATTGCTCCAGGCTCCGAGTTCAGGGCGCAGGGCCAGCAGGGAGGAAGCCTGCCCCCAGTGCAGCCCCCTCATGTCTCATGTCCCTGCCCGCACCCAGCCCTGTGACAGCGAGCTCCTCTCCTGGTCCCACCTCCAGGCCTTTGTACCTGCTGTTCCCTCTGCCCCCCCACAGCCTCCCAATGCCAGCTGGGACGCCCCTTCTCTCGCAACCCTCCTGACCCTAGCAGAGCGGCTCTAAATCCCTCCTATTTGGGAATCGCTGCTTCATACGGAGTGTCTCCCCATAGGCTCCACAGCAGAGGGCCAGACAGGGCACTGCCCTGAGGGCAAGGCGGGAGGGGGCAGTGGTAAGACCGAGTGGTCCACAGAAAGGGCTCTGAGGTCTGCCCAGCCAGCGCCCCAGACCCGCGTCGCTGAGCCTCGGTTTGCTCATCCGTACATGGGTCACAGGCCTCTGTAGTACAGGGCGGGGGGTCGAGCGCCTCACAGGGCCTGATGCCCAGGCAGGTCCTCAGTAGAAGCACTTTCCCCCTCATCTTCCCAGCTGGACGCCAAGGCCCCAGAAGCCAAGTCACTCCTGGCCGGTCCTAGCCTCACCCTCAGAGCCTGGCCGATGTCCTGCACACAGGAGGCTGAGAACAAGCCCTGGTTGACTCCCCATCACCAAGCCACTCGGCCGGGTGTGGACCACATCCTGAAACCCGTTTCTCACCGCAGGATGGCCCTCACAGTCACAACGGGCTCTGGCCAGGTTTCAGAAGGAGCTACCTTTCTCTAGTCCACCCCTGCCTCC